CACAGTGAGGCAGTAGAAGCTGTCAAAGCAGGACTAACAAACATTTGAAAAAGAAAGTCTACCTGCAAAGAAGGCAAGAGAGCAAACAGAACATAAGAACAACCATGTTAACGAGAAAAAGGAAAAGAAAATGTGCAAATCATTGAGGTTTCCAAGTTTACATTGGCCAGGTCACCGTGGAAAAACTTCAGCTGGGTCACACAATCATCCTGCCCCTAGGTGTTTTTTTGTTTGTTTGTTTTGTTTTTGCCTCTGTGACCAAAAAGAATAATTTTATAAAAGAAAAAGGTTATTTGGGACTCATGGTTTCAGAGGTCTCAGTTCATAGACAGCCAACCCCATCTCACTGAGCCTAGAGGTGAGGCAGATCATCAAGGCAGAGGAGTGTAGAGAAGGAAAGAAGTTCTGGACATGGCACCAGGAAGCAGAAATATAGCTCAGCTTACCAAGGACAAAATATAACACCCCTCCCGAAAAACCAGCCTCTACCTCAGAGCTGTCCAAGGAAGGGACGTGACCTTTGTCCTTGGAAAGACCCACAGAGCACTCCTAAGCACATTCCCACCCTGCTAAGTTGTTTATCTACAAATAACAGGAGAGATCTGCAGCACCAGGTGTTCCTGACTCAGTCAGGCTAGGTGGGGATACATAGCAACCCCCTAGCAAACACCAATCAGCATGAGACAGGGAAATACCTGGGATGCCAGATGACCCCCAGTAGTTTATGGTGGTGGATAACGTGTTGGGAAACCATGTAGTTCAGCAGTACTCCCCTCTTGGCCTAAACCAATCAGTTCAAAGGAATCCCCCTCTTGTACTAACCAATCACCCCTACCCAACTAGTTCCCCCCAGTGAATGTGCTAATCATGTTTTAGAGTTGTTTTATGATTTTTCCTGCGGTGTGTGATGATTTGCTAAGAGATGCTATGATGTATGTGAAGTCCCTGCCTTCCCCAAAGAATGTATAAAACTGCTGCAAACCCTGGCCTCTCAGCGTCACCAGTTGCTGTGTGTGTGCGGAGGACCCAGCTAGCTCGCCATAAATGCCTCTTTGCTGCTTACATCGATCTTGGTCTCTGGTGGTCTTTTGGGGGTCCCGAATTCGAGCATAACACCCCCAAAATAAAAAATTAAAAAAAAAAAAATGCCCCTGTTGACTTATCCCCTCCAGCCACACCCCATCTGCCTACAATTACCACCCAGTTGATCCATATCAGAGGATTAATCCTCTGATTCAGTTAAGACACTCAGGTACCTTTCATTTCACCTCTAAACTTCCTTGCATTCTCTCACACGAGCTTTTGGGTGACACTTCACATCTAAACTTCAAGTCATGACAAACCTTCCAACAGCAGCCTCGAAAAACTCAGGAAGATCATTGTTTTTTGTCAGTGTTTAGGTTTATAGGAAATATTTAGGTATTTGTTATTTTGAGGGCCAGAACTAGAAAGCATGATCCTATTATTTTCATTTATTTTAGGATACAGACAATTTTGTTTGTTTTTGTTTTGGACAGTTTGATCATACCACAGTATGTCCCCTCTCTCCCTCCACTCCCCTGCCCTCCCCATTCGCCTCCCCTCGCCCACGCTTAAACTTCAATCCTTCAGTTAAGACCATCAGTGGAAACCTTCCTCTAACGTGTAGACTGCGGCACAGAGAGATGGTCTCAGTCCCCTTAGAACAGCGCCTTGGGCGTGGGTTCGTCTTCTACCACACGAGGGCAATAAGTCTTCTCCCGCCGGCTCCGGAGGTTCATCCCTCAAAGACAGGGAACAGTCTTCCCGGAAAGCAAAGAATGAAGGGAGGTGACAATTGTGAGGCCTACAAATTCAGGAACACCAGGAAGGCAGCTCTTCTGAGGACTGTCCCCAGTCCCAGTGCGTCCAGCCTGAATGACGGCGCAGAACTGAGGGAGGAAACCCTGTTTTAGAAAAGTAAACCATAAATCCGTGCATTTTTCAAGATCCGCTGGCCTATTAGTATGACTTTGGGGCTCTTTGTTGCCTGTGACAAGACAGAGAACGCAACCCATAGCTTCAAGGAAAAGGAAGACAGAGCAACAGAAAGGCCTTAAATGGTGGTTTTGGAGTCCCTGGTGAGATCCTGGGAGGGTAGAACATGGATTTACAATACAAGTGTTCTATGGCACAGAGGATAACAGGTGGCAGAGGTATTAATACTATGAAATGCCAGGAAGGAGAATTTAAGCACCATTGGGATACTGGGGAGGGAGAGATTGAGGAATTTTACATCAAGCATTGAAAGTCTCCAGAATACTCCTAGCGAGCCATGGCGTCTGTCTCTCTGCCTACCTCTGTGGCTTTGCTGGATATCTGTTCTTTAAGGCACTAGGTTCTCCAACCTCTTTTGCTGATAATCAAATCATGGACTCTCAAATCCCAGCCTGATAGCTACCTCTCTGAACCAGCAAATGCTTATCTCCTGATTAAAGATTTTAAGAAAGTGGCTTCTCCACGTTGCTGGGTTCCTTGCTCAACATTTTAACCTGAAGGAGCTTCCCTGGCCTGTTGCGCTTGGATGCAAATCATTTCAGCTCGCCTATGTGCAGCACTGCAGAGCTTATGCGAAACGGGCGCCAATAACAATTCTTAATTGTACCTTCCAAATAACTCCTTAAAAAAAATTATTCTTAAGTTTTAGGTGGACACAGAAAATCTTTATTCTACATTTACGTGGTCCTGAGGATCAAACCCACTGCCTCGTGCTTGCTAGGCGAGCACTCTACCTCTGAGCCACAATCCCAGACCCCCGAAATAACTTCTTTGAAAAGCACGACCCCGTGACAACTTGCAACCCCTGGCGGGGTTTTTCAAGTACTGCTACTTCCGGGAGTTCAGTGAATTAATTACGTTGCCAAAAGCGAATTTTGGCTATTGTAGCAGAAAAGAAAACTACAATGCATTTCCGAACGCGATTGGGAACACAAACTAACCTGACACTGCCTTAAAGTGCCTAACGTTGGCAGCGCTTTTTGCGATCTACCGGCCCTGCGGATTCTTTCCAGCTTCACTGAAGGTAACTAAACAATAAACATGTATCCGCTACTTTCCGTGGAAGCGTGGTTGGCTCTGAAGAGAACCTTTGTTGTATGGGCAGCCATTGGCGAGCCCACGCGGCCGTGGTGTACTTGGGCAGCGGCAGGCGCACCGTGGTCTGGATCTCCCAGAACTCGTGCGCGATTCTTTCCATCCTACTTCGGCGCCTTGGTCCGCACCTTCTTGAAGCCCTCCTGGGGACCGAGGCGGACTCCACTGGCTCGGGTATAGGAAACCTTAAGTACCCAAACAATCACTACCAGACGGGTCCAGTCCTCTTTCTTTAGAACTCAACTCGCAGCAGAGTCTAACTTGTGATTGGAGGACATATGGAGCTCTCGGTTCAGTATTGTCCAATCAAAATGCGTGTTTTAGAAATTGCATTTAGAATATTTAAAATGCACTTACAACTTCAGCCAATGGCTCAGCTTCTTTTTCGCGCCCAAAGCGGCTATAAAGTGTGTGGGGTTTTTTTTTGTTCTTTCACACACGTTTTTGGTGTAGTTTGAGCGCGCCCATCATGTCTGGACGCGGCAAGCAGGGTGGCAAGGCTCGCGCCAAGGCCAAGACGCGCTCCTCCCGCGCCGGCCTGCAGTTCCCGGTAGGGCGAGTCCATCGCCTTCTGCGCAAGGGCAACTATGCCGAGCGGGTCGGGGCCGGCGCGCCCGTCTACCTGGCGGCGGTGCTCGAGTACCTGACGGCCGAGATCCTGGAGCTGGCTGGCAACGCGGCCCGCGACAACAAGAAGACGCGCATCATCCCGCGCCACCTGCAGCTGGCCATCCGCAACGATGAGGAGCTCAACAAGCTGCTGGGCAAAGTCACCATCGCGCAGGGCGGTGTCCTGCCCAACATCCAGGCGGTGCTGCTGCCCAAGAAGACCGAGAGCCACCACAAGACCAAGGGAAAGTGAAGTCAGCTTCCCACTAACTTTCCTAAAACCAAAGGCTCTTTTCAGAGCCACCCACCGTTTCTGAGGAAGAACTCAGCACTTTATTCTCTGAATGTGTCAGGTGCCCGGTTATGTTGTAAGCACATTGAAGTAGTAAGATCAAGAATGGTGTTTTGAAGATTCACTTTGAATAGAACCCCCCTCCCATTCTATATCGTCCCCTTCCTCTAAATATTTCCGGGTCGTTATATAAACATTTTTTTTTGTGATTTGCCGCAGTGAGTGTAATGTCAAGACGACTTATTTTTCAGGATTTTTTTTTTATAGGAGAGTTTGATGGTCTCATAGTCAACTAGAATTCCTTCCTAACAAACGGCCTTTTCAGGTCTGCTTATATTTAATGTAAAAGACCTTAGTGTACATCAATGCAAACATCACTCCGCGGATAGTAAGGGAACCTTGAACCAAGCAACCATTTGATTGCATCACCATCAGTTATGTCGGATACTATTGGTATCATAGTCGAGCACATTTCTAACCCTTCGCCCCACGAGCCCCAACCACTACTTCCCCACACCAGGCAAGACAAACAAGTTTTCATGTTCCAGGAGCCACTGTGCCAATCTATTTTCAAACTTGTTTTTTTTTTTTCGGGCTTTGGTACAATCGTTAAAAGTAGTTATGAAACACTTTTATTTACTAAAGATTGCATCATTCTACTCGTAACTTTTTCAATTTATCTGAAAAAGGAAACAAAGCTTAAAAAAATGCTTTGGTTTAAGAACAGTTTAGACTGACTCCCACGAATTCCAATTCCAATTCCATTTTCATTAGATCTTATTTGCTTGAAACCGTAAACAAAATAACAAAAATTCTCTCAGAAGAGAAAAATGGCTCAGAGGAAAACGGCTCGGAGGAGGGGGTAAGAAACAAAGATTGAATTAGAAGCCAATCAAGTTACAGCTGCAACAGCTCTGACCAATCAGGATGAGATCGTCAGTATAAATTCAGGTCCTTGCAGCAACCTTTCAGTTCCTTTTTGTGAGGGTTCTGGTGATTTCCCATGGCTCGTACCAAGCAGACAGCGCGAAAGTCCACCGGCGGCAAGGCGCCACGGAAGCAGCTGGCCACCAAGGCCGCTCGTAAGAGCGCCCCGGCCACCGGCGGCGTCAAGAAGCCTCACCGCTACCGGCCCGGCACCGTGGCGCTGCGCGAGATCCGCCGCTACCAGAAGTCCACCGAGCTGCTGATCCGCAAGCTGCCCTTCCAGCGCCTGGTGCGCGAGATCGCGCAGGACTTCAAGACCGACCTGCGCTTCCAGAGCTCGGCCGTCATGGCGCTGCAGGAGGCCTGCGAGGCCTACCTGGTGGGGTTGTTCGAGGACACCAACCTGTGCGCCATCCACGCCAAGCGCGTCACTATCATGCCCAAGGACATTCAGCTGGCCCGCCGCATCCGCGGGGAAAGGGCGTGAGCTCAAGACTCCCTAGCCACCTTCCCAAAGGCTCTTTTCAGAGCCACCAAAGTCCTCAGTGATAGTGCTGCTCCACATTGAGTTAGGCTTGGTCTTTTCTTTTCCTCGTGGCTCACGTGAGAAGATCCTCGGCACCACAAGGTATTTTTCGTTACTCAAATCGGTGAACCTTGATCGGAAGGGCGTCAGGTTGCGGGAACTTGAAAGAGTTAATTTTACATTGGCTCTGGAGCCAGGCCGTGTAGTACAGTAGGCAACTGTGGGAAGTGGACTTGTTGTTTGGGGAGCTATTGGAGATTGAGCTGAGTCACATCCCCAGCCATCACTAAGTTGCTTAGGGTCTCGCTGAAATGCTGAGGCTAGCCCTGAACTAGGCTAGTCCTCGGCCGCAGCTTCAGGAGTCGATGGAATTACAGGCGTGCACTACCGCGCTCCGCTGAGGAGTCCTTTCAAAGGATGATTGCTTCCTCCACTAAGGTAGAGTTTGCCAATAGGTCATCTTGCGGGTTGTGAATGCTACATAGTTGGGTGGCGGACAACTATCCCTACAGGTTCCCAGGAGGTGAAATTGTTATGTTAAGGGATGGCACCTTTCAGGAAACAGGCACCCCAAAATGTCCTACCCATCCCACCCGGATTCATGAGCTCAAGTGAGGAAGTTTTACGTCCGTACCTCAGTAACAGGCACGAGACTATTAGAATGGCAAAGGAGAAAAGAGAACACACAGAGTGGTCCTTATAGAGAGGAGAGGGACGGGGTGCGCTCCAGTTTTATTGGGAATTCCCAGAGGTTTCCACAAGTCCCCATCTTTACTTGGGATTGACAGCCTGGGAGCTGCATGGACCTTCTCCAAGATAGGATGGTGTGATGTTCAGAATTGGAATTTTTAAGAAAATTGAGAACCCCTGTCAGTTTCCTGCCCCTTCAATCAGTTTATTACCTACCCTTTGGACAGCTACCATCAAGCTTTCTGTGTGAGGGTCCTGATGTTCTGGTTGCCAGGGTGATGGGGGTTTGTGACAGGTTTCTGTGATAAGGGAGGGTACAGGCTACCGGGGAGGCTGTGACTTTGTTGTAGGGACAAATGCACCAAAGATAGCAGGAAACAGTTTTATTTGGCTGCAGCCAGGTTCAGAGGGTATAGCCTTTGCTGTAATCAATCAATCCCCTGAACCCCAAGTTCAGGGAGTTTTAGGATTTTATACCCAGCGTGTAAGGGGAGGGGCTCAGAAGTTCACATAAAAGCAGCTTTTTCTTTCACTGTTGTGGGCAAGTTAACCCTTCAAGGACAACACCTGAGAAGGGGGGAGCTTCTTCTCCCCTCTTCCCTCCCCCTGCCAGCTGTTACCATGGAGCCCAATTGTAACTTATCTTAAAAATGTAGACATCTCTGTGAAGCCCAGCTCAAGGCCAGAGGCCTTGTTTGCACATTTCTTCAAAAGTTTGTGAAAAACTAGTAAGGGGGTGTCCAGCACCTGGAGTGCTGGTATCTTCTCGGCCAGTGGCCTAGTAAACAGGGTGACATGAAAATAGGAAGTTTATCTACATTGGACTCTTGCAGAGACTCTTTTGTTGACAGTCCCCAAATCAGCCATGGTGAAGAGGGCTTTTCTGTGGAGAAACGGGGTGCCACTTCAACTTGCTCTTGAAACTAGCTTTTTTTGTTTGTTCATTTGGTACTGGGGATTGAACCCAGGGGCACTTTAGCACTGAGCTACAGCCCTTTTTTAGTTTACAGTTTGAGACAGGGTGTCACTAAGTTGCTTAGGGCTCTGATAATTTGCTGAGGCTGGTCTTGGACTAGAAATCCTCCTGCCTCAGATGTGACTATGGGTGAGGGAGGTTTGACATACCAGGCCCCATCTTCCAGGTGCGTATCTGTCAGACGAGTCTCCCTGTGGTTTTCACTCCTTTCCTGCTCTTCCATTCAGGGCTGAACTAGCTACCTAACAGGTGGGTCTCATATTCTCTTACCCAGTACTATGATTGTTAAAGTGTCACTCCTGACCTGAAAGAACCAAACCTGAATTCAGCTGAGCCAGCTGAACCACTGTTACCAGAAAGAAGGACATGGTCGTGTTCAAATGAGCATTCTGGTTCCCAAGAGAACTGACGTTTTGTCTGGCAGTGACTCACCTGATAATCTCATAGGATAAAGCTCTGAAATGTACATTCCCATGCTAAGATTGTGATGTTGTAAAGTTAGCACCTTAGCCTTTGGTCTTATTTGCAGGAGCCTAGTAGTGCAGCCATGGGCCTGAGGGGCAATTCAGGGGCATTAGGCCATCTTAACTGTAGGCCAATCACCTGATGCTACACTAGTGATTTACCAGGCAGAAGCCAGAGTGGATACCACCTGGTACAGACCTGTCTCACCTGGGGCAACTGAAAGCTTCTAAAGACTTGGACCCTTGCATGACTGATGTGCATGAAGTCCTAACCCAGGAGACAAGGTGCTGCCTAACATCTGTGAAGCTAAGTGGTAACAGTTACATTTTGCTATTTCTTTTTTCCCCTGTAGAAGATGCAAGTCATAGACCAAAGATTTGTTGTTTTTGCTCGCTGCTTTATTTCTAGGATGGATTGCTAATTTGCTATCACTCAGGCACAGATTGCTCCAACTCAGCCCTCCAAAGGCTTTAGGAAAACAGAAGATTCCATTTTGGAAAAGACATCAATAGCCAGGGCAGAAGGCCTGATTTCCTTCAATGGAAAAGACAGACACACAGGCCCATGCAAAGGTCTTCCTGCTCTATTTCAAGGACACTGGCTGGGATTTTAGAGTCTTCTGAGGTCTGCTGTTTCAAATGGAATGCACACTTAAGTGTGAACTTAGAAATTATGGTTTCGTTTGATGCTCCTTCCTTCAAAAACTGGAGCCTAATTCTAGTCCCCTGCATGTACCCTGAATTTAGAGATGAGCTTCTAAGGAAAAAAAAGTCCCACCGCTTAAAGAGGAGGTCATGACAAGCACTGTACTTCCTACTGGCTAAATCTAGATGCTCTGGACCCCAGGGGCCATGTGGAAGAACCCTCCAGCAACCCCTTGGAGAGGCCTGCCTATTAAGAAAGTGAGGCCTTCAACAGTCAGCCAAGAACTATAGCCAGGAAGTGAGCCAGTTCTGGCCCCTGTCACGCCTCAGATGACTATAGCCCCTGCAACAAGTGGACTCTGCACTTCCTGAAATACCCCAAGCTAGACCCCACAGAGCTAAACCACTGTGTACCTCATCTTCAGAAGGTGAGAGAGAGTAAACTTGCTGTTTTAAGCTGCTACATTTTTTAGTAATTTGTTTCACAGTGAGTAACTGATGAGACAGGAGAGTCAGGAGTCATCCTAAAGAATCAAGTAGCCCAGGTGGGAGGAGTGCCCACAGCTTGGTCCCTGGCTACAGGGAAGTCTGGTCCACCGGACCTCTCCTTTCCTTCCCAGGAATCTGCAGGATTTATTTGTGTTGCTATCCAGAGGCTGAAAACTAGCCTAGTACACTAAGAATTCAGGAGGAGGAGGAAAGCTGTGGCCTCTCAGGCAGAGAAGCTGTGCAGGTAAGCACCTCTGGCTAGCAGCTTTGAAGGAGAAAGAAATCTTTAAGTTTTTCAGTTCACTTAGAAATGAGTAAGACTCCAAGAAATCAATGTCCCTGTGAACAAGTATTGACTTATTAAACCAGTATTCTATTTTGTTTTAATTTGCCATTTCCAAGGAAACTGGCTAAGAATTAACTCAGTTAAGAGACTGCATGTGCAGGAAGCCTCTCTGACCTTGCCCTGTTAGTGCTAACAATTGTTTCATGCCCTTCTCTTTTAAGCTTTCCCACATTTACTATCACATCTGACTATTAAAGGAACATTGTGAGGTAGGCACACAGTTAGGGTGTAGCTCATTCATGCAGGGAAGGGGTGGGGGGGGGGGGCTTGGCACAGAAAATGTTCTTGGTGCAGGTGGCCCAGGCATTATGGCTGCACCCTCCAGTTTTTGAAAAATTTCTGTGTGTCAGAGGTACCATCTCTAGTGGTCCTACTACTTGTTAAATAAGCCTTTACAAATCGTTATTCTCCTTTTTCTACATCCCACACAAATTTATACCAATGCAGGGGAGGAGAAATATCTTCCTTCTATTTAAATTCATAGGCCAGAGCTTCTGTAACAAAAGATTAATGAGAGAAAAGCATGCAAATGTATTAAATGTAAATTTTGTATGAACAGTCTTGTTAAGGCAATGAGTACTACCAAAAAAATATAAGTCCTCATGCCAATCCAATAATGAGGACACAACTGTAAGGAAAAGAAAAAAAGAAGTCTTATTGCTTTGCTAGCAAAGGAGAAATACAGGGGACTTCTACCCCAGAGACTGTGATTCTGCCTGTCATGGGAAACAGGACTTTTAAAGAGGGGATTCAAAGGCTACATTCTAAGCTGTTCTTTGTCATGGGTCATAATTCACATGTAGCATTTCTTAGACTTGGGGCCATCCCTGAAGTCTAAATTACTTCATTCCTGTGGTACATAAGCTCAAGGACAGGTAACCTGGCCTAGGATGGGAAGAAAAGTGATCTTGATTCCCCAAGGTTAGGGAGGGGAAGAGGGAAAAGAGGTGAGGGAAGGGGATATCAGTTTTAAAATAAGCCTCAGTGGCAGAACAGTGAAGCATGAAATGAACCTGTTGCATTTGGACCCAAAGCAGTTAAACTGGAATGTTGCATGCTGGGGGTGGGGGTGGGGGGGTAGTTACCAAGGCCAGCTCACCAGAGGGAGTCCTGTGGCTCTCTGTCATTGAACATAAGGGCATTCCTTTCCTCTGGACTTAAGACTTCAAGGGAAGGTCAGAAATCCTTCTTGCATGTGCTATTTCTCAAGTTCCTGCAACTTTAAATACCCCAAATCCTGGGATAGCATGCTCTGAACCCATCACTCACAGTTGATTTCGTTATTTGAATGCCATTTTCCTGAACTACCTGTCAGAGGTACCATCTCTAGTGGTCCTACTACTTATTAAATAAGCCATTGCAAATCATTATTCTCCTTTTTTTCTACAAAACAGGTCTTTCCCTTTCTTTAAGAGATGTTTTAGAGGTTAAATGAGGTGATATGAGACAGTGCCTTGATCAATGCCCCAGAGAACAAGTTAGTTTCCTCTCTGGATTTTGGTTAGGAGAGCTGGAGAAACAAACCGAAGTCCTCTGATGAGACTAAACTGGGGTTTAACTCTTGTCACTGGTTAAAACTTAGTCATTGAATTGGATAGCTTCCTAACACATAAACAAGTCAATTTTATGGCTAATCTAATAGGCAAATAGCTAATCTTATTTCTTTGGCAATCTGTTAGCTTTTGTTTTCCACAAGGCAGATTCCCCCCACACTTCTCTTCAAATTCTGGACACTACATGGAATACATGAAGCATCAATCTAGGAGGCAGAAAAGATGTTGGAAACATTAGTTGAAAACTAACACTCACAGGGCTGCTGATGCTCCCCAGAAGTGCCGAGGTCCTGAAAGGCCTTCAACAGGAGAGCAAGCAGAGTTCCAACCATGCACTCTAATCCAAGCTCAGGGAGGTTTCCACTTCATAACGGGAGCTGCTGCCAGAAGCACTCCCCACTGGCCTGGCTCTTATAAGGATTTGGGCCATGGAAACATACAAGGGAGCATTCCTCTGGTGAGCAAACTCCCGGAGGGTAAGGGGCACCCGGTTATCCACACTTGGAATATTCTACAGTTTCTCCCTGAGACTAGTAAGATAACTCATACATGTCAGTGCCTAGCTGCTGCCTTCATGAGGAGGCTCTGTGCTAGGGTCTTATCAGCCTCCATCTTAGTGTCAGACACTCAGCTTCTGGGCATGAAGGAACTTAGAAAGTTCCTTTATAAATAAAGCTGGCCGCTCAGATGAGGAGTGCCCTTTTTACTTCGCCCCTGCATCTTGCTTGCTTCTGTATAGGCTCTCATCAGGAAAGAGGGTTTAAGATGTAAAAAACTGAATTTATTTAGGTGTCCCTGCTGATAATGATAATAAAAAAACTTGAATACATTTAAAATGCTGTTCTTTCTGAAATGGAAAATGAGAGAAGCTGTATTAAAATTTTCATTTACATAAGTAGCCCGAAAGAGGGGTTACACGCACTAGTTCTATATAAGAAAATATGCTTTGAGTGTTTTAATTTAAATTGAAGAAAAATCTTCAGATTCTTAATGCAGAAGAAATTTTTCGACTTCACTTGTATTCAGAGACATTCGAATGAAAACAGCAAACTGTATAACACCCATCAGACTGGCAGAATAAGAAAGCTAGTGTCTGAGTCCCCTAGTACTGTGACAGCAAAAGGTTCCAGAGCCACCTGTTTGTTGGCTTACGAACAAGATACTGCCCTCTGTTCTAGGCTAAGCAGTCCAGTATGATCCATTTCCTTGTTCACTGAACAGTGAACCTCAAGCTGTGTCCTAAGACTGCAGAAGGGGCAGGCAGAGCTCTGGGACCTCCACTATTAAAGCCCTGATCCCATTGTAAAATCCTTGAACTGGTGACCTGATCTCCTCCTGAGGCCCTGGCTCTCAGCACCATCACTTGGGGGATTGGGCTTCAACATATGAATTTTGGCACGACAGGAACATTCCATCCAAAGCACCAAATGTAACTGTGCCTTGGTAGGAAGTGGAGAGACCCATGTGCTGAGGTGGCCCTTTGCCATGACTTTGTACAAGATGGATTGGAGAACCACCAGCCATCTCTCCCATGCCAGGCCCGTGCCCCAAGGAAGCCTACAGATCCATGAAGTCATATTCATGATAATAGGAAGGCAGGGAGAATTTAAGGGGATAAGTAAAATAAGAGTGTAGGAATACCAAAAAATGCCTTCTTTTGTCTAAGGTAAGATTAGAAGTAAATGGCAAAAGCCAAAGCTGAACTCAAGACTAAGTCCCCCTTCCTACAGGCACCAGTTCACACCTGGGAACACCAGTGCTGGGAACTGAATGGGATGGCCTAGCTCTAGTCCAAGTAGGCTGATGACCACAGAAGGAGTCCGACCTGTGTGGCTTTTAGAGAAAGCCACATGGGAGTGCCTGTCTGTGAAAACTCCTGCCCCAGCCTGAGGCCAGAAAGGAGAGTCGGCCTGGTAGTAGAGGGCTACATCATCTTTACCTTGGATTCTGTTCTCGAGACATCCAGGTTGGGAGATGTTAGCAAGAGGTGAGGAAGAGAGTAAGAGCTAAATATTGGCCTGAAATGCATGAAAACCAGCAAAACTGAGGGAAGTCTAGAGGGGAGCCTAACGATCTGCTGGGAGCCATTAGCCAAGTAGGTATGACAATTTCCTTGCCAGCGTACCCCATGTTGCTTAGTGGAAGGACTCGTGGAAATAGGACATTTTGCAGTGACATTGCATGTAGGTGACCTTGCTCAAGGACCAAGGCGGATCCGGGTTTAGGGTGTTCCCGGTTTATAATCCGGGTTTAGGGCGTTCCGGTTTAGGTTCCAGGTTTAAGGTTTAAGGTTATTCCTGCTGGGAATAGGGCGTATCCTGCTGCCTGAGTTCCCCTTGAGTTCTCACAGGATTCAGACAGTATTTTTGGGGGAGACAGAAGCCCAGTGGGGGTGGATTTGGGCAGAGAACGTGGATTTCCCCAGAACGTGATTGTAGACGGCTGGTGTGAGTTCGGGAATAAAGAGTTGCTGTTTGAATCTACAAGCTGTGTGGTGGCTCGTGATTGTGTGCCCAGCCAGACTGTGGCAATGATCACCATTGGCTACGTGCATAAGGACACTATAATGTGTCACCCAAAATATGCCTCTTTGGCATAAGGATTATTTTAAGCAGATGGTCTTGAGAAACTATAGACATGGGACAAGTTCTGAGACCAAAGGGTTCTTTTGTAAGGGGAATTTACATCTAAGCTGGAAGTCTCCATTTGTAATGCTCTCTCCCTCTCCATGCCAGGAAAGAAAGGAGGGCTGCCTCAAGATGGATTCTCAGTGACCATTTGCAGGCCAATCCTTTTCTTGTTGCCATGCTTCTCCAAGTCCCCATAACTGGCCTCCCATTCCTGCTCCTGTTCCAGCTGAAGATAGTTTCTATGCCACTTCTATGAGGTGCTCAAATTCCTTCATATCTTTTGTTTATATATGAAATATACATCCCAATAAAGATTTGTATGTTTTGTTTTTCTTCTGCTTACCTGTCTTTTGCTATAGGGTGTTCTACTTTTAAGAACTCAGAAAAAAGTAGAGGAAAAATTATTTTTTCTTCCCTGAACATACACGGCACCAGAACACTGCAAAAACAGCCAGGGCAGAGAGCACACTAGGTCAACAAGAAGAAAGCATCAGGTACTGAAAGGCTCTCAGTACTGGAAGGCATATTTGGCTCTTTTTTTTTTTTTTTTTTTATAGGATCTCCTAAATTGCTGAGTTGGGCTCAAACTCACAATCCTCTTGCCTCAACTCCTGAGTCATTTGGATTACTGCGGGACCATACTTGGGTCTTGAGAGAATTCCAGGAGCAAGTAAGGAGTTTCTCTGATAAAGTGACTTTACAATCAGATTCCAGAGGCTATAGAATTGTGGGCCTTAGGAGAGATGGTGGGATAAGGGCAAGAGAAGAGAAATCTGGATGGGCAGTGTTTTAGTCAGCTTTTTCACGGCTGTGACTAAAAGTCCTGACCAGAACAATTTAGGAGAAGAAAGTTTATTTGAGGGCTCATGGATCAGAGGTCTCAGTCAATAGACAGCTCAACCCATTCCTCGAGGCTTGAGTAAGGCAAAACATAATGACAGAAAAGTGTGGCGGAGAGAAGAAGCTCACATGATGATCAGAAAGAAGAGAAAGAGAGAGAGTCCATTAACCAGATACAAAATACATACCCCAAAGGCAGGCTCCCAATGACCTACCTCCTCCAACCACCCTACCCTCCTTCAGTTACCACTCAGTTATTCTCCTCAGAGGATTAACTCCCAGATTAGATTAAGGCTCTCATAACCAAATTGTTTCTCTTCTAAACCTTCTTGCATTGTCTCACATATGAGTTTTGGGGGGATACCTCACATCCAAACCATAATAGGATGGATTCTGCATCTGCAACATTCTTTAAGTGGTCTTATAGGAGCTTAGAAAACAATAGCACAAAATATGCCACTTATTTTTCCCCTCAAACCAAGAGCATCCTTGGAACAGCAAATGCAGGGAGAGGCTTTCTCTGAACAGAGTTCCCACCTATCTAAAGGCCTGATCATTGAGAAGATATTCAATGTTGTGACTCCCTTCCACAGATATCTCATCATTAGCAGGAGACTGGCGCACCTGGAAGAAAGACCAGAGCTGACAACACAACTACAGCCCAGATACACTTTTTCTCAGGACATTCCCTGTCCATTCATCTTCCCTAAAATCCATGCACTCTTCTACAATCGCCTGCATCCCTAGCTTCCCTCTCTCCTGAGAGGAGAGTTTATAAGGTGCTTGACTCTGTTAGGAGGTGCACATGATAGATTTGCATGCCTTTTCTCTGCTAAACTGTCTACTGCCAGTTTACTTCTCAGACTTGAATTCCAAGCCTTCAGAGGGAAACAGGGCTCTTCTGCTCCTACAGTCTTAATGACACATGGAGACAATGCAAACTGAAGGATCTTTAAGGAGGGTAGGGATGGTGTTTCTGCTCAGCTGTGACCAAGGAAGAGGGGAAGTTCCATGTGTCTAGGTGTCGTGATCATGTTTTATTTGGGGTAAAATGTATGGAGGAAATATTTGAGAGAGTAAGTACATGGGAAGAAAAAGATTGAACAACTAATGGTCTTTGCATTAGTGCATATGTCCAGGTGTTCACATGTGTGTTTGGGGATAGGAAAATGAGAATTAGGAGAGGCACTGATGAACTATTTTTTGAAAGAAGAGAAAGAAAAGAATATACAAAACACAACCTACTAGAGAAACAAAAAATTATATGCAAAACACAATCCACTAGTCAATTCCAAAGCTTTAAGCAAAATAAGCAGGACAAAATCAAGTGTCAAGGAGATAAATAAGGTAATATATCAAACTGAAAATTTAGTCACATTAAAAGAGATCGAACCCAAAACCTTGAATTAAGAACATTAAGAGATTGTTAATAAGACAAGTACAGATCAATAAGCAAAACATGGAGCCTTGTTTATTCATTTGATCAGAAAGAAAGGGAATTGTATGAAAACTGAAATGGTCAACATTTCTCTTGAGAATGTTATGCTCGAATTCAGGACCCCCAAAAGACCACCAGAGACCAAGATTGATGTAGGCAGCAAAGAGGTGTTTATTGAGAGCTAGCTCAGTCCTCTGCACACACACAGCAACTGGTGACGCTGAGAGGCCCCGAGCCCAGGGTTTGCAGCAGTTTTATACACTCTTTGGGGAAGGCAGGGACTTCACATACATCTTAGCATCTCTTAGCAAATCATCACACACCAACAACTCTAAAACATGATTAGCACATTCACTGGGGGGAACTAGTTGGGTAGGGGTGATTGGTTTGCACAAGAGGGGGATTCATTTGAACTGATTGGTTTAAGCCAAGAGGGGTGTTCATGCTGAACTACATGGTTTCCCAACACCATAAACTACTGGGAGGGTCATCTGGCATCCCAGGTATTTCCCTGTCTCATGCTGATTGGTGGCTGCTAGGGGGTTGCTATGGATCCCCACCTAGCCTGACTGAGTCAGGGACACCTGGTGCTGCAGATCTCTCCTGTTATTTGTAGATCAACCACTTAGCTGGTGGGAATGTGCCTAGGAGTGCTCTGTGGGTCTTTCCAAGGACAAAGGTCATGTCCCTTCCTTGGATAGGCTTTGCTCTGAGGTAGAGGCTGGTTTTTCAAGAACATTCATCTCCCCTAATGTAAGGAAAATACACAATCATTTATCACAATCAATAAGAATTTATTGGGCAACTCATGCTAACTAGCATTACTATTTCCTGGGGGGGGGGGGGGGACATTTTGCACCTACTTGATTTAAATGAAACTAGACTCTCCAACTCTTTAAGAAATCTCAAGAATCAATTAATTTTCTCCACATAGGTACAAGAAGAGAATTTTAAAACTCGGATTTGACAAAGAAAATTTACAAGCATTCACATCCCTAAAAAACACACATGTCCATGGTGTAGGAGTGACCCCTTTTCTTACCATTTTGCTGGTCCTGGCTGGAACTTGAAAAAAGACAGGCTAGGGGAAGAAGACCACAGCAGACAGACCTCATCGTTTTTCCAGACAGGGAGCCTTCAGAAATGAAAGCCCAATAACTCAGCGCAGACTGCTGACGTTTATGCTTAGACTTGGTGAGGAATGGGCAGCTGTGGACAAAAGGTTGCAAACCTGGTGTTCAAGGACTGAAGGGGAGCCCAGCAAGACCCATCTGTCCGGATTCTTCCTGGTCTCTCTGTGGCATGCTTTACTCCCGGGTATGGGGCAGGACCCCTCCAGAATGGGGTATCTAGGGAGATAGGAGAGAGTGACCTCTCCAAGGGTTAGGGCCTGCCTCCTTGGGAAGAGAGAATTTCTAGTTTCTACTACCCCCTCCCCCCAGCAATTCTGGCTTCTATCACTAGCTTTGAAAAAGAAAGAAGGGCAGAAGAAGGGCAGGGAAAGGCTTGTGTCTGAGGTCTTTCAACTTGAAGTACTAGTGCACAAAGTGCCAAATTCTGGAACGTTGCTTTCTGAGCCCCAACCAACAATGAAATATTCTCAAGGCCAGCCATTGTTAAGCCAATCAAACCAGAGCCCTTCCTGAGTTATATTTGCAGGGGACCATAATAATATTCAACTGCAAACTAAGCTACTTGGGTGTAAGGATTATGCTGAGCACATTATTTTAAGAAACAGCAAACACAAGAAAAGTGCAAAAACAGTAAAAGTTTACTCTTGAAAAAAGAAAAAAAAAATCCTTACATTAAGGAAATTTTCAGGGGTAAAAGTACCTTCCTCTACCATACCAGAAGAGGAAAACAACTCACAGAAGGACATTCTCATCCCTGAGATAATTAGAATCTGCAGACTTCACTACATAACCTTCATCTTCATAACACTTATCTTCCAGTAGTTTGCCCTGTAGGTTTACCTCACCCCTTTAAGATGGCCTATAAGCCCCCCTGGGGTCTATTTTCTTCTTTGGGCTTTCATTCCTTTTTTGTAAAATCTCCCATATTTATATATAACAAACCCCATGTTAATATGCCAATTTAATTTGTAAGGCCCAGCTACTAACCCTGAGCTGGAGGAAAAGTATCTGCTCCTGGCACTTCCTATAAAAAGTAGCACTCCTAAGAGTTCTCACTGTTTCAAGATTTCCTCATATAAAGTTTCACTTTAAAAAGAATAACTGCCATTTAATGACGAATAATGCCCGTGGATTTTCGAGTTGCAAGGGAAACAGATTATGGTGATTATGCCAGTAGAAGAAGCAGGGCTAACACCTTCAATATTAAACATGGGGATTCCATATTAGCCAGAAGACAGGAGAGACCAGTTCAATGAGAAACAGATTATATAACAGGATCATGTAATTAATGCTTTGCATGTACAATAATCAGTTCACAGTGCAGTTGGAGAGACTAACTTCTAAAATATCTTAGACATTTGTTAAAGGAGTAAATAACCAACCAAACATGCCTGAAACAAAAAATAAACATTCCCAAGGTTGGGAAAAGGAAAGTTAAGAACTCAAGACTTGCATCAAGTAAAGGCAGCTGACTCCTAGAAGCCAGGGGAGGGTCAGAGGAAGTCAATCCAAACTACTGGCGAAGTGGAAACAGCCCAGCACTCTGCCTTTGAAACACTCTTTTCCCTGGAAATAAAGCATCCCTGGTTGCCGTATCAGGCATTATGTAAAATTGAGAGGTGTGGGCTTCCAGTTAATTTTCTTCAATAGAGGAGATGCTGGAAGGGCCCAAGCTACATCACATTTGCCTCACTCTCCAGAAAAAAAGAAAGTGAAACGCCCTTCTTCAAGCAGCTTCCGCAAGCTTTTCCCAAGCAGAATAAAGACAATATTAGTCACTTATCCCCAGAAATACGGCGGCGGATGAAGGAAAGAAAAAGTGAATCATGAGAAGGGCAGACAACCACACTTTAGAACAGACAGGAAGCTACACCTGAGCAGAAGATGGTCACTCCTCCGGCGGACTATGCCCAGATCCTAA